GATGATAAACATAAAAAATCGCAATAATAATATGTTGGATAATAGTGACAGTGTGCAAATATCTAGCGAATGACGATTAAATCCATGTAATTCCTATCTCAGTTAACATATGTACATATGTATGTCTTCCTAGCAAGCATTGTACTTTTATAATGTAAATAAAATTTTAGCTTAGGTCCAGTGCTCATTTTACACTTTGAGAACATTTTCTGAAAATTCAAACCTTCAGCATGCTTGCAATATTTTGGTATAATGCAACATAGTATAGCATAAATTGACATGGCATGGCGTTATATAGCATAAAGTAGCATAACAAAAATTGTTGAAAAATAGAAAAAATTTTGAGTTTTTGTTCTTTATTTTTGAATGACGAAACATAGCATAGCATAAGGTAGCGCCTATGCTATGCCAATATCCTAAAACTGCTTAACATAAAACGCTTTAGTTAATAGCTAACTATAACCTTATGAAATTGACCTAAAAATTGGTGTCTTCATTTGGTGTAACAAAACATAGCTGGCATAACATAAAGTAATTTTAATATGATATAACATAGCATATGTTGAAACGAAATAGCATAAAATATATTATTTTTTAAGCATACAACAAACATAAAAGAATTTTTTTTTCTGAATTTGGTATGCATAACGTAGCACAGCATAGGTTAACAGAACATGGCATAGCATAAGAAAACATAGAATTGCAAAAAATTAATAACTAAATTGCAAATTTCAACCATATAAAGCTGAAATGAAAATTGGTATAATAAAACATTGCACAGCATAGGTTGACATAACATGTCATAGCATAACTCAAAACGCATAGTACAAAAAATATTTTTTAAATTATAAATTCTAACTATGTAGCAGACATAACTTGATATAACGTAACATAGCATAGCACATCCCTGCATAGCATAATACAGCATTTGGTATCATATATAGCATGGCATAGACAAAAACATTGCAAACATTTTTTTACCCTGAACAGCGAAAATTAAGCTCCGAAATTTGTAACACACTGAAGGAACCTCACAGACGCCATAAAATGTACATACAAATGATCAGCATGACGAGCTGTGTCGATTTAGCCATGTCCGTCTGTACGTCTGTCTGCCTGTATATGTACGAACTAGTCCCTTAATTTCTGAGATATCGATATGAAATTTTGCAGACGTCCTTTTCTCCTCTAGGAGCTGCTCATTTGTCATTACTGCCGATATCGGATCATTAAAGCATATAGCTGTCATACAAACGAAACGATCGGAATTAAGTGCTTGTGTGGAAAGCTTTTTCATTTGACGAGATAACTTCAAGAAAGTTGACATGTCACTGACCGATCCAAATCATGTTCTTGTAAGGAATATTTTGCATGTTTTTGATGTTACATGTTTTTGGTGTTACATAACATAGCAGCGCATAAAGTAACATAATGTAAAATAACACAACATAACAAGGCATTAAAATAAGTAAGCAAAGGTTAACTGATGCATATCAAATCTTCGAAACATTAATAAATAACTTGCCGATTATATCGGTTTTATAAAGTAGGCCGAATAAGGCCGAATACAATCGAATGGCAAAAACTCGAACTGCAACTACTCAAAGGCTGAAAAACTTAAATTTACAACAATCTTTTTTCAAAAGAAAACACTGTTACACAGCAAACACATATGCAAAATTGTTGAGACTGACAGCCAACACCTACATTGTGTTGCTGCACGACAGCGCGGCCAACAAATGGCAAGCAACAACAAGCATACCTGGCAAAAAAGTAACATTAACCAAGAGTTATATAACAGCAACAGGCATTCAAGGTAACGCATGAAACAAAAGCCCACTAACCATGCACAACAGTTTGCCAATCTACTCAACGGCCAGCGTCAGTCAGTCAGTCGAAGCATGTGGCAGCAAAAATGATTGGTGGAAAAGTTGAAAGTTATGATGTGTCATTAATCAAAAATTGAAACGCATGCATGCGTATGATGAAGGGAAATTTATGCGCGTATACTATCTGTCCTCCACACACGCATATCCACATATGCACACACACTGACAGGCAGGCAGATACAATTGCCTATCTACTGCGCAAAGGCTCGCAGCGGTAAGCAGACACTTTTGCAGTGGAGCTGACGCAGGCATTGGCATTGGGTGGAAATTTGAAATTTTTAAATATTACGCATATCATTTTCATACACATACACACGCAAGCGTGTATGAATTAATCGCACTAGTGCAACGGTGCATGCGGCAGTGTGTGCGTAGGTGATATTGGTTTATGCAGTTTACGTTTGACGCCTATAAATATGCAACAGTAAGTAATTTCATCGGTATTTTCGCATATGACCGTTGAAGGTGACTACAACAACACAGCTGTTAAACGTCGTTGAGTAAGCAGCGGTAGATATACATATACCAGTAAGCAATTAGCCGCTTGTGTCATCAGTTGGGCAATTTAAAACTTGTAGAACTGACATTGTTATTACTTGGTTCTGATAAAATGAAAAGGAGTTATGAAAATGAAATTTTCTTTCTATGAATTTTTAGTAAAAAAATAATGAGAACTTATGTATTGAAATGCCCAAGGTGGCACTAGATTAAAATTTTTCAACAACAAAACAAGAAAGAAAAGGCGTTATTTTCTGTTACCCTTCTCAAAAAAAAAAAAAAATAAATAAAATAAAATTTTTTTGATCGTTCAAATTGTATGGCAGCTTTATACTAACTCTCAACAATTTCTTCGGAGATTGCATCATTGTCAACAATCCGTACCAAATTTCGTGTAGATATCTTCAGTTTATACGGCAGCTATATATGCTATAATGATCCGATCGCAACGTATTGTTTAGAGATTATACCGTTGCCTTAGACAATAATTCATGCCAAGTTCCGTGAAGATAGCTTCCCAAATAAAAAAGTGTTCCATATAAGACCTTACTAGATTTGGATCGTTCAGTTTGTATGGTAACTATATGCTATAGTGGTCTATTTTAAACAATTTATTCGAAGCTTGTAACGCTGTCTTAAATACAAGTACTAAGCTAAATTTCGTAAACATATCTTATCAGCTATTTGCTATAATGGTTCAATAGCGGCCATTCCAACAAATCAGCAGCTTCTTGTGAAAAAACAGATGTATGGAAAAAAACTTGCGGTAAACTTAATATATCCGGTTCAGGGAATCCAAATTAGTGGTATTAAAGCTTTGAGTAACTAGTTATATCGCTACTAGTCTATAAACCATTTCAATTATCGCTGATGCCCAGTACTAGATATTCTTATACACTCGTATAATATTAAGAGCTGCAAGGTAGCTCAGTTCCGCATATGAAAACACTCAAACATTTAAGGTCTCAACTCTCTTTATAGCATCGCAGCGCGTAAATTTCTACATTTTCCTATTTGGGTTTTCGTATTCATTAGCACATTGTGTATATATAAATCTACACAGGTTTATATTTATAGCAATTTGCGTGCTTTCTTCGTAAAATGCACAGTGGATCAATTATTTTTAGTGCATTAATGAAATAGCAATTTATGTGCTTCATCTTACCGCCATATACGCATAGATATATATAATAAGGTGGAGCGAAAATTTTAAATATTTATTTTGCTTAGCCTGAGAGTAAAATTTGTAGATTATAAAATGAGAAAATTTTTGGAAAAAAAAATTTAAGTAAATTTCGAGTTAAAATGTTTATTTCTTAAAAAAAATTTTGATAAGTGTTCTAGAAGCTGTGAAGACTCCTCATTCTGGCCAATTAAAATTATAAACTTAAAATAATTTTTTGTTGTCATTATTGGAGTTTTAAAAAAAAATCTTTAACGACAACATGCTTTCCTTAAGCGTTAAAATAAATTTTGAGTCAAAAGCTGTCAAATTCGGTAATTTTTATCTAAATGTAAAAAGTTTAAACCAAAAAATAAATATTTATTTTGTCCAAAAAATATTTTTTGTTCAAAAAAAATTTTAACTTGAAATTTACTTTAAAAGTGAGTGAGTGGGCCGTCTCTAGATGTTAAAAAAAGTTTTTTTTTTTTAAATTTTCTTTTTTTATTGTCTACAAATTTTACCCTCAGGCTAAGCAAAAAAAAAAATTTTTTTTTTCGCTCCACCCTAATACATACATATCTCCACTCCCACATTTGGCTTTCGAATGTGCAACTGCCTCCAGCTTACGCAACAACTGCCGCAATAGAGCTTATTATGCGTTCATCGATGATTGAATAAAAAGTCGTTCAAATAAATTTTGGTTACGTTCGAAGCTCACAACTTTTCAAGTTACACATAAGCTTTGTATGCTTGCTGTTAAGCAGCCTTAGTTTGTGCATGCCTGTTATAACTACTCCCAGGAGAGTATTGCAACACACGTTTTAAAGTGTTATAACGATGCCAATTGGCATGCGAAGAAAAGAAATGTCTGCAAAATATACACATAAAAATTAGAAAATTTGATTTAGATTTAGTACAGAGCAAGAAAGAGAGCTTAACAGTGAAGAAAGAGTAGAGGCAATTCAAAAATATATATGTAGACTTTTTACTATTGTATAAATTTTCTTCATTAACATTATTTAGCGCAGCTTTCTCTTCCGAAAAGTGTAAAAAACAAGAAATAATATTAACATAGGTTGCGCCGAAGCTATAATACCCTTATCAAATATAAAATATTCTTTGCCAGAACTTTGATCGGTCAGTTTGTACGGCAGCTATGTGCTATATTTACTCGATCAAAAAATTGTTATTAAAAATAAAGTTATATTTTGCCCCAAAACTTTGCAGTTTTTACCCTAATTATATTTACATTACCTTAAATTTAACTGCAGCTGGCAACACTGCATTCATATTTTTTCAAGTTTAATTTAGATATATTCAAGGTTTTTATGTGTGCTGTGCTGAAAGCTTTCAATTTATTTAAAATTTTCACATATTTAAATTTAAGTGGCAACACTTCGCACGTTTTTTTTCCACAAAAATATATTTTATTAACAACTGTGTCCAAACTTATTAAATTAATTTTTTTTTACAGTTTCTTTATTAAAAATATGTGGCAACCCTTTTTAAATTTTTTCCAGTTTGCTGTAAGTCTGTTTGTAGCTCATCAAATATTATGTATCTGAAGACTAATATAAAATTATAATTTGCAATTGATTCTAAATTTACATTTGTTAATATTTAAGTGGCAACACTTTATATAAATTTTTCTGCAAAAGTATATTTCATTAGCATTCATATGCAAACTTATTAAATTTTAATTTTATTTACAATTAAATAATTAACTACATGTGGCAACCTTTTTTTCACATTGTTTTATTTTACCGTAAGTCTGTTTTTATGTGATCAATTTTTATATATCGAAGACTAATATAAAATTATATGTGTATAAGTGAAAGTGCGTCTTACTCATCGTGAAGTCGTATACTATGAATGACGTTCATATTTCCCTCTCTCTCTTTATTCTTTTAATTGATGTTCGGATCTCTTATTTGTTTTGCCGTAAAACATTTTAATGAGCGCCGTTCGCTTACTACGACGTTGGGAACATAAAGGCTTGAGAGCATGACTTACATCTATGACCCACTTGCGCAAAACTCTCCACTAAGTTCCTAAGTATACAGACTTCATTTTGATTCATCAATGAATTTTTTCCACTGCAATGCGTGTTAGGTTCACGATATTTACAAATCGCAATATTTTCAACGTTACAGTTAATATCATTCATTAATAGTTCTTTGTTGTACAAATTAACCTCAAGGCAATCTTCATTATTCACATTGTTGGGGTTATTTTGTGACCATTTGTTGAAGATCAAGGGTCGACCAGTAGTGTGTGAGACGAATTTCCCTTCCTCTGCTAAATCGTTGCCGTCAAACCAAAACCGCGATTCTATTTTTCTAGCTAAAATGTAATTTTGCAGTGCCAACAATTCTTCATGCGATTCAACACTCGCCAATTCGCCACCATAAGAGCGACAGTAGTTAGACGACTCGAACCAGTTCATCTATATGGAGGTTTTTATATATATATGATTTTTGTAAAGATATAATAAAAGAAGTAATAATTTTTTTACGCGACACACTTGCCTTCAACAATTCGTTTATAAAGTAATACTTGCTACCGATTTTTATAAAGGGATGTATATTTTCTGTGTGCTCTGAAAGTTTTTTACATGAATGTAAACGTTAAAAATAAAAACGCTAAAAACAATATAAGGTAGCTCTTACCATCATTATTAAAGGAATAACCATCCGCGAAAATGCTATAAATGTTTAAAAACACTAAAAAACGTTGCAAAAAATTTACCATTTCAGCGCTAATGTTTTTACTTGAGCTGCGCCTCTTACTGTTTCTATCAATGTTCTTAACCTCACTGCTGTACATTAGCGTAAATCTTTTATAAATACTCGATTAAAAATACCAAAAAAAGATAAAAGATAACAGCAAGTATAAAAACAAAAAACAGAACTTCCAAAACGTCGAGAAGTGAGCCCCATTTATACAGGGTGATGCAACTTTTAGTTTAGTGACATACAGTTTGTATGGCAGCTATATGCTATAGTGGTCCGATAGCGGCAGCTCCGACCAATGGACAGCTTCTTGGGAAGAAAAAGACGCGTGCAAATTTCTTCCTTCTGGGTGTTACAAACTTCGTGGCAAACTTAATAAACATACACTCTACAGTGCATAAAAAGTCTACATTAAAGTCTTATATGATAAAATGTGTTGAAGATATTAAAAGAAGAATATTGCAAACGCCAATGTCCACTAGAATGTTAGATAATTTACTAAGAAAAAACGTTGTCGAATTTATAAAGCAATTATCAAAAAAAACCACACCCACTAGTTATATTACTTTTAATTATAAACCAAACTAAAACCAAACCAACATTTGCGATAAGCTAGCATTCAGAGCGAGGCTGTTATGAGTCAGTTTTTTGGGTACTTTTCAGAGTTATCAGCAAGTAAATATGTTTACTATATACAAGCAGATAAGGGGAATTTGAGTGCGGCTTTAGTCGAATATTACTGTAGCAATTTTAAAATCAAAAGCGTGGATGACATTGTGCATCGATTACAATCCACCACAACAACGTAAATCATTAAATTATGGATATATGAAAATATGGAGCATATGGATAATATAATATATAATACAACAAGAATATTTCACTTATTAGCAATATATAATATAATATACAGTATATATACGAAAAGTTTGAAAACCCCTATATAAGGTTTATGAAGGCTAGGAGAAATACTGAACGGATTTTACCCATTTTTGGTAATACATATCTCATAAATATCATTTAATTAACTGATATTTTCAACAAAGGTTCGGCCGTAGTAAAGCCTCTAGGAATGTTTTGGAGGAATGCCATACCTTAAGGCACTAATTGCTTTAACTTCTATTTCTATATCTGCAATGATATTTTATTTGTATATTGTTAAGTGAAATAATCCAATGGAATATAAAATAGTGTGCCAAGTAGGCGTGGTTGTAGCCCGTTGTCTGTACTTTTTAAACTGTAATATATGGATGTCAAAAGCTAGAAATTCTTATTTCTCCTATTTGATAAATGATCGATAGAAATTTATGGTACCAGCCGCTGCAACTTTAGTTTTAAGTTCGAATAAGATATACCTTGAAAGGCAACCTTATACGTAGGCTACCTTTTATATTTCGAGATATGGCAAGCTCAGTGTTGCCATCTGGTAGCTTATAATTTGATCGTAAAGTTTGGTAATTTTATGTTATACATACTCAGAATATTTTGACACACGAGCGCTATTTGTGTTGTTTACAGTAACATAAAATATTCATCTCGGTAATAAAATTAATTAAATTGCGAACATTTATGCGCCATTATTTTTTAACAATTTTCAACGTAGATTTACTTAACAAACAGTGAATTTCGGTGTATTTAATTACATTTTTGGCGATGAAGCTTCATCAAGAACCAGTGTTGAGTGATGATATGTTGAATTCAATCGAGCTCCTAGATCACTTAAAGACGAATATCGTGAAGGTTGTTCAAAATCAGTTGTTATTCCGGAAATTATTGGTGTTTTGAGCAAACTGATATTACAAGATCGGCATGTGATCTAACGTGATATTTAGACAATTATAGGCCTGCATATATACCATTCAATATGGCATGGAGATTTTATTAAAAAAAATTTTTTGCTCATCATCGATTTTCGATGATTAAAGTTTGTTTTTATTCGCTAATATCGAATCAGAAAGGGCAACGCACGTAGTGCTATTAATTTTCAAACTGATGAAAACTTTAGAAGAGTTTCCATAGTAGTAGATTGAAGTAAGTTGAGTTCGTTTGCATTATTTCCTCAGTTTTGGAGATATTTGGCAACTATGCTCTTGTAAAGAGACTTCCGTTCAGATTGAAGAATCCGTTTCTTTTTTTGCATTTTTGTTGATTTCAATCATAAATTTATGTAATTGTATTTGTATGCTACCAGAGTCTACTACAAATATGATTTACCCTTATGCAAGTGACAGAACAAAACTTAAATCCGAAATGGCTTAACATAGTTAGCATTTCATTTCCAAGCAGACACACAAGTGTAAAATATGAATGTGTGTGTGTGTGTACAAAGTTCATGTATAGGGATGCCATAGTGCTGTAAATGTAGGCATTGCATTGACAGCGACACAACGTTAGTATCCGTAATTGGGTAAGAACGCATTATGCAAGAAGGCGCATATGCAACAAATGCACTAACAATAATAATTTCAAACAATAGTAACAACAATACTGTAGAGTAAAGTAACTCCGCAATAACCACAATAATAACGGACAATGACAATACGATGTATACGCTTAGGTGCATGTACTAACATGTATACGAGAATATGGTATATGTGACAAACAAGCCGCCAATGTTGTATGCCACTCACATGCCACGCCATGCAGAAGCGTGCAACGCGTAGCAAAGAGAGTGCGGCAACTGTGAAATGTAACAAAATTGCAATTTAAATTGTATTTTCTACTGACATGGGCAATTTTAAGGCGCATAAAAGCGAGAGCGATGATGTAAGAATCATGCAGAGTGTGACAGAGAGCGCTGCCTACTGTAACACATGCGGCATGTACGTGCAGCACTGACCACAAAAGAGGCTCAGCGCCGTAACGCACATACATACGACAATATTATATTATTATTATTATATATATTACTATTAGCCAGTGAGAGCGGCCGAGACCCAGACCAAGAGCAGAGCAGCGATGGAGGTAGTGAGGTAGGCGAAGGCGGCTGCAATATGACAGCCGCTACTCAAATCTGTACGCATACAGATGCAGATATTCTCCATTTGGCAACTGTGTATGCGTGTGTATGTATGTGTGCTGGATTTTATGCCGTTGCTTAATTTCAGGCATTCAGCCATTCACCAAGCAAACAAGCAACCAGAAAACAACCAAACTTGCTTGTCGCCAAGATATTCAGGCATATGAAAGCGAAGCGCTTGACGAGCAGTAAAAAGTTAGGGCACAGCAGGGTGCACTGAAACAAATAAGAACAGACAGCGTAATGATGATGATGGCGACGATGACGCTGCTGAAGGAGTGACAGAGTGGAGAGCGGGTATGTGACGTAAGATATAAAGCAGCTTCCCACACTTGCGCCATATTTTGAAGTGCAATCAACTGTGCGTCAGTGTTGCGGACAGCGGACAGTAAACGGCCGACAAGCGGACAGGCCGAAGGCATATCCAGTAGATGTTGGTATTATCATGCGTGTGGCAGACAATTTTTTACATACAGCTGCGCATTTATATGTAACTGTGCGTGCGTGTGAGCAAGCCGGCGAAAGCGTCGTATGGCGAAAATGCTGACAACAACATATCAGCGTCACGTTTTTGTCACACATGCCTTATGCATGCGGCGTACGGTGTGAATGCATTGCGCTCCGGTGCGAACAGTGAGCCAAAAAACCAAAGTTCTGGGTTGTAAATGTTGGAAAGGATTGTAAATACTTGTCTTTTTTCGGAAATATGAATGGTTTAATTTCAGTTATATTTGAAAGACCACAATATTTTCTAGAGTGGTTTACCTAAAAATATATAACATCGCTTTGCTGTTGTTCTACTGCAATGTATTCTCTTTTATAAGCTACTACTTATATTAAACACAATTAAAATGTTCAAAACATAATTTACTGGAAAAAGCTTAGGCAGTTTTGTGAAAGCTTTCTGTTTATACGATTGAAATTAGCTGACATATAAAAAGCTTTTCAAATTTAGTAAAAGCTTTTTCGTTTTATATGACAGTAATTAGCATAAAAAATAGTTTCTCAATTTTATTTAAATTAAAAGCTCGCCAGACTGATGAGTGCTGTTTGTTTTATACAAATGTATTGAGAAGCTAAATAAAAAAAAGATGACAGCTTTTCATTTGATATGGTCATGATTAAATGTTTAATAAAACGCTCGGCACATTTGATGAAAGCTTCTCGTTTTATATGGTTACAGTAAGTAATTAAATGTTAAGCTCTAAAAGTTGGCAAAAGCTTTTCGTTTTAAAAGATGAGAGTCAACATGAACCTAAAAGCTTTCGTTTTATACGCTTATAATTAACACAAAATAAAAAGCTCACTAAACTTATTGAAAGTGTACCATTTTATAATTTTAAAATTAGATGTTAAATAAAAATCTCGTCAATTAAAGTGAAAGCTTTTGCTTCTATGCGCTTAAAAGCTTTCTCTAAAATTGGGCAATTAATGATACTCGTGCAATTTCATTAAACATTTTTTTCTAAAATTCCATATTTCGAGAGCACAGTTCCTTGATTCCTTTTTCCTGGCTGTCCTTAGCCACATTGCATCTTTTAACTGACATAACAAATATAATTCTGAGGCATGCTTTAGTGACGTAATATCATTTACAATTATACACATTTTCTCTGCTCACACTTGTCCACTTACTGATACCAATATATATACGCACAGTGTGAAGCTGGATACTCTAAAATTAAATAAAATTTAAATTCAGCAAATGATCAACACAAATTGCTATGACACAAGCAACACTATGTATCTAAGTAGATAAATGTGTATACGACCTCACATATATGAGTTTGATCAGTTGCATTGTTTGCTGGGCTGTCGCTCAGCTTTCTGGCCGTCGTTGGCGCTGCCTGAGCGCACATTAAGCAGCTGTTTTGCTATCAACGCACGTAGCAGCACACACTGCTTATATCTGGTGCATATCTATAGGCGTACACGCACAACAGCACATCCATATTATGGCTATTTTACTGTCACTTAGTGCTTTTAAGCTTATTTCATAGCTTTAGTTTTAGTTGAGTAGTGTGGCTCTACATTAGCATATAGACAATCATATTA